GCTTTTCTTGAACATGCCCCATAAATTAGGTTGATTTAATAAGAAGTTTAAAAATATATGCTGTGTCCCCAAAAGGGTACTTGATTTTTTTTTTATTCAAAGAGAATTGAACTCTCAGAGGAGACAGGTGTGCCACTTTAGAATGAAAATTCCTAATTAAGTACTGGAGCAAGAAATCCTAAATGAAGGGGAGGAGTGAGGCAGCGCGCCCCGGCGCGCGCGCCCAGCCCTAGACCCCGCCCTCGCCAGCCCAGCACGCGCCCAACGCCGCGGAAACGCGCGTCGGGAGGGTGAAGGGGCTGGGGGAGGGAAGAGCCTCACGCTCGCGCACGCGCTCCCGCCAGCTGCCGCGGACCCGGGCGCGCGCGCGCCGCCCCCGCCCTCCCCAGTCTGGCCCCGGGGGCCTTGCTGACGTCAGCGGGCCGCTCGTGGAGCTGGTGCGCAGAGAGGCTGGCGCACTCGCTCACGGCGCTCGTTTCCCCCCCCCACTCCCGCCCGTCGGGTTCACAGCGCGCGCACGCGCGCGCGCGTCCTATCGCTCTCTCGTTCTCTCACTCTCCCCCCGCCCCCCGCCTCTCCCTCTCTTTCTCTCTCGCTCCTCTCCCTCGAGCTCCCCGCTGGTCGCGGCTCCCTCGCGCTCTCCCTCCTCTCTCTCTCTCTCTCCAGTAGGCTCCGCCGAGCGATGCGAGCTCTGGGAGACCACAACGCCGCCTCCCGCTAGAGACCTGCCCCCCCAGCCCGGCCCCCCGGCCCGGCCCCCTGCCCAGCCCTGCCTTGCGCGCGGGGGTCGGCGAAGGCGCCGCGGACGCACCGACGGCGGAGGACCCGCGATGCACACGCACTAGCAGCACCCCCTAACTCACTCCCTCCACACCCCGCGCCGCCGCCGCCGCCGCCTCCGCCTCCGCCGCCTCCGCCTCCGCCTCCTCCGCCTCCGGCAGCCGCGGCAGAAGGACCCACCCTGCCCCCCACCCCACCCTGCCCTCCGCCGGCTCCGGCTGCGGATCTAGCCTTCGACTCCTATTTTATTTATTTTGGGTCGTGCACCAGCCTCAGTGCCTGCAGCCCCGCGCCTCCCTGGGCCCGCGGGCGCCTCCTCCCTCGACTCCGGAGCCCCTGACCCCGGCCACTCTCGCCTCGACATCCCCAGACCCCCCCCCCCCGCCAGCTGCCGCCAGTCTCCCCTGCTGGAATCTTGTGAACGGCTGTCTTTTTTGGGGGGTTCTGGTCTTTCGACGTTTTTGTTCCCAGCCAAGGAGAGGATATCGTGATTTTTTTCCCCCTTTGAGCCCAGGCTCTGCTCTCTGGGGGGGTGGGGGGCGCGCCAAGCCGGGGAGCCGTGCCAGCCGAGTAGTGCGGGCTGTGGCAAGGAAGGGGCCACCATGGGATGTACTCTGAGCGCTGAGGAGAGAGCCGCCCTCGAGCGGAGCAAGGCGATTGAGAAAAACCTCAAAGAAGATGGCATCAGCGCCGCCAAAGACGTGAAATTACTCCTGCTGGGTAAGGACCGCGAAGGCCGCCCGACCCCGGCCACCACGCACCCCTGCTGCCAGCTCCCCCCACCCCTCTTGTGCCCCCATGAGATCTGGTTCCCGAGTTGGCACCACCATGTGCCCAGGATCGCCCACCCCCTCCCTAGCATGCCTTAGCCTTCCAACCCCCCCCCCCTTTCCCTAAGCTGACACTCACTGGTTTCCCCCTGTCTGTGTCCCAACAGGGGCTGGAGAATCAGGAAAAAGCACCATTGTGAAGCAGATGAAGTAAGTGTCTGTGGCACTGAGATTTGTACTTTTATTGAGAATATTTTTTTTAGAATCGTTTTTTATTACCTCGCTCACTTCACATTACTCTCCAGGCCGGATTTTTAATTCGTGTACACGCACGCACACACACACACACACACACAGCACGCACACCTGGCTTTAACTCCCCTCCCCCACTCCTTACGTTTGTTCTGGGTCCTCCACCCCAACTCCTGGGGTGGGTGTTTTTGCGGAGGCCTGTAGTTGTATGAATGACAGTGTCCGCCATATTGATCAGAACATCACACTATTGGCATGATTATGATCGTTACTCTTGCTGGTGGAGTATTTCGTGTTTTGCTGTCTCCCATCTCTGTCTCATTCGGTCTCTTCTCCCTCTTTGCCTTCCTCACTACCTGCATAATCCCACTTCTCTCCGCTCTTCTCCTGGGGCAGTGGTTTTGAACTTGGCTAAAACATGGAGGGGACCCAACCCTAGACTGGGGTAGCAGATCAAGAGTTTGCTGTTCATGAATTTAAGTGCTGAATTGGAGTCTGTGGTCTTTACCCCTTCCCCCAAAAGAGAGGGCGAGGGTTAGGGGAGGGGGCGTGTGCTAGGGGAAGGAGTGGATTTCCAAGCGGATGTGACAGGCACAGCTGTATCCAAAGCAGAGATAGAAGAGAGATGCTGACTGTGGGTTTGAATGCCCGCCCCTGGATGCCCCGAGCCCCTCTCCTCCCCCATCCACCAGCATTTGCTCTCCCCCTACGGTTTTACTTCCCTCTGTGGCCTTTATCATTGTATTTATTTTACACTCTGCTTAAGCCGTTCCATGAAATCTACCAACAATGCGGATTTCAGGCCCTTACCGCCGCCCCCTTCTGCCTGAGATATCAGTTTCCCCTCCTAATTAACTGGGGGTGGATTTGAGTGATGGTTGAAAATTAAAACAAAATGGGATATTCCTTCCCTTCCACGCTTTCCCAATAAGGAGCCTCGCCCTCCTTCCCACTCGCAGGCTCGCGTCTTGCCCCATCCACACGGAAGCTCCCGATGAACCCACAGGCGGCACCAGCAGCTTTGCTTGGGGGAGGGGGTGGCCGGCAGGTAAGGGGTGTGCGCCCTCGGGGCCTGCTGGCCCTGCCGTTTCCGTTGGCCTGTCAGTTTAGGGCATGGAGTTCGTTAAGAGCGTTTAGAGAGGATTCCAAGTCGCTTTGCTGTGACACCTTCGTGCACACACAGCTCTAATTAGAGGTTGCTGTGCAGTAAACAAAAATGATTATTTTTCAACTTGACGGAATAGCCGAAGTAATTGCATCCCGTAGGAAAACAATGGAAAATAAAAACCCTTTTCGTGGGAAGGTGGGTGGGAGAAGCGTGCTTGCGGTTTGGGAACCAAGAAGCAAAAAATCTTGCATGTGTAACAGGCATGACAAGCGGGTTCCAGGCGGCGCCATGATGGTAGGGAGTAACGGCTCGGAGACAATTTCCCCCCATCTGCTTGACATATTCTTATTTTTGTTTGCAACCCCCCAGGGGCTTTCTTCGCAGTGGCCCCCTCGGCTTTCTGCACCCTTCTGAGCAACGGGAAATTTGGCCTGGGGCTTCTCTGAAGCTTGTGCAACCCAAATGGATGGGAAGGTGGGGCCTGGGGAATTGCTCTTTGCAATGAGGTGCATGTTGCATCTGCCTGGAGCCCTTGCGGATCGGGAAATGCAACCCGCGCCACCCCTTTCTCCCTAAGGAGGACGTTTCAAAACTTCACAAGTCTGTAATCTGCCCTGGCAGGCTGGGAGTTCTGTGAAAGCCCCAGGCACCCGAGCTGAGTGAGGTTCAGGCGTTTCGAGTGGTGGACAGCGCCCAGCCGAGGCCTGGAAAGTCGATGGGGCTCAGCTCGGCGATGCTCGGCTCCACTCGGCGCGGCCTGGGCGCGGGGCTCGGAGGGATTCGGCAGTGTTCGGCGTCCAGGCAGAGAGGACCGAGCCGCCTCGGAGGGGGCCCGAAGGCATTCGGAAACGCAAGGGGAGGGAAGAGCAGTGGGGGAAGGTAGGAGGGGTATGATAGCCTGCAAATTAACTTTGCATCCACCTGCTTTTCTTGAACATGCCCCATAAATTAGGTTGATTTAATAAGAAGTTTAAAAATATATGCTGTGTCCCCAAAAGGGTACTTGATTTTTTTTTTAATTCAAAGAGAATTGAACTCTCAGAGGAGACAGGTGTGCCACTTTAGAATGAAAATTCCTAATTAAGTACTGGAGCAAGAAATCCTAAATGAAGGCTGAATGTATACTTTCTGGAGAAAGTCCTGTGTGTCTTAAATTTGGCTGGGTGTGTTTGATGTTTGGGGCAATTAAATCAGAAATCAGAGCATTTCCTCTCTTTTCCTTCACTTCTCTTTGTTCTTACCCCCACTGGGCCCTTTTTGGAGGAAAATGCCAGGCAAAACTGAGATCTTGTAGTTAAAACCTTTTTTTTTTTCTCTGTAAAAACACAATACACAACCCTCTTTAGGAAACAGGACAGATTGCTCAAAAGATGTCAGAACTATGTATAACCAGTGTAAATTTTGCCATAAGGGACCCTGGGGTCCCTTCCTCCTGCATTCATGAATGGCAGCCTTTCCTGAGAGCCATTCAACTTGGCTTGAAATAAGTCAGATCAGGGCCTTGTGCCAAACTGAATGTAGGACTTGTTTTATTAACCACAAAATGTGGGATTGGTGTCACTGTATCTAGTGACAAATTCTTTCCTCATTCACAGAGGTGATTTTTGAGATCATCACTTAATTGAGAGTCACTATTAGTCAAAAAGATTGTGTTTTCTGGGTGGGGCCAGGCGTAGTAGTCTAGGTGGTATTTACAGGACACAGTTTCCTACTTTACTGTGTGATGCAATTGGTGAACAATCTATCACACTATCAGTTACTTAGGATACTGTGTTATTTTTTACCTGGGCAAATGACATTAGATCATTAAGAGTGTCTAGATGATACACTATAAAACCCAATCATTTCCTGATGGGGATAGAGTCTAGTAGCTTAGCCTAATGGGTTGAAATGAAGAATATTCATGTTTAGCTATTGTTGGAACCCTTTTATTCAATATTTCCAGAAAGGTAAAAGGCCATTCCATTTAGCCATTATTCTCATCCACTGTATATGTTTATTAGGAGAAAACAGGTTTCCTTGTATGTCCACAGTAACTCTAGTTAAATGATAAAGGACTACTTGGCAGATGCTTCTTGGAACAAAGTGTTAATACCTTCATCAGCATAGGAACATTTCAGAGAGACTGGCCTTTGAAATTTTTCTTCAATACATGTCCTGAAAGGAAACTTGCATCTACTTAAGAGATGCCACAGATTAGATTGCCATTTTTAGAAGCCCGGTTCTCAACACTTTTTAAATTAAAAGTTTCATTTCAATGTAGCTTTTTGGGGTTTTTATCCTTTGTGTATATGGTTATGAGTTAGCGTTTGGGAGCTCCGTGTCAGACAATCTAAAACATTTCAGTACGAGAAATAAACAGTGATAATTGCAGTGCACAGATATAATTTTACACATACTATGAGTAATCAGTGACTTTTCTGTATGGCATTTTAAATAACTCTGCTTGTTTTAAAGAGTTGCGACCTCACCTATGATACAATCTCATATTGCATACACTCAATGAGACTTAGGTGTTCATATTAATAAAAGTTTTTAAAGGAAATGTGAATTTTATTGATTTACCAAATCCTTACAAACAAATCTTTTAGAATTATGCTTTGTGAAATGTAGAATCAATAGAATATCATTCTAAGTAACTTCACAGTTCTCAACAAATAGTGACAACTTCTTGGGCCATGTACCTGATGAAAATTTACGTAAGCCATATAGTTGCTCTGAGCATCAATTTGCCCACATTCAGGATGCTGAAGCTAGAGCTTTACACAGAGTTGTTACAAAGAGAAGAGTTGCAAGCTGGCAGCAGGGCATGGCTTACTAAGCTAGTAGGCTTCACTGAAATGGGCACAGTAAAATGGAGCATTTCTCAAGTGCATTCATTCCCAGGATATTGCTCAATGCTATCTTAAAGTAAATTTAAGGATTTACCTGATGAAGATATCTTTCTCTTGCAATGGAAGATGATTACACAACTCTTCAAGGGAAGGTTACCTGCTACCAAAAACAAAAACAAAAAACTTGTGGCTTCCTTCTTTCCACTGACCTTATATAATTAGAGTATCCATGGTTTGGTTTGAGCTTGGGTTCAGGGCAAGCCTATGTTCTATCAGCATACTACCAATACCTCCTAAGTGGCTGGCATTCATGGAGTTGAATAGTGACTTGAAGCTATTACTTTGAGCAAGCTCAGCCATCAAGGTGTTCCACACACATGCCCAAGAGTCTCATAGACTGTGATAGCATTCCATCGATAACTATTTCAAAACTTGTGGTCCTGGTATTTCTGCAACAATTTGGTTGGCTACTTTGCCTTTTCCCCCCCTTCTCCTGTCTCCATGTTTATTCAAATAGATGCATCTTGTTCTCTGGAGACAGTGTAAGCACGAATGGAATGTCAGATCAAGTGGCAGATGAGTTCTCCTTTGCTGATGGATGGTGCTTTCCTCTCTCCTTGACATTCAGTGAACTGTAAATACCAGCAGAGTAACAGTCTACCTGGCCTCCTTCATGAATTGGCTGTGGAATTCTTAAACCAAAGTTTAAGAATCAGATACCCACTGAATTCTGTAATAGTACCTGTGTTTGTGGAAAAAGTTGTTACTTCATGAGATTGGCATGGCTGGACAGGAATTCAGAGTTTCTCTTTTGTAAGTTGGAAGCTGGATGAGTTTTTAATACCCAACCTCACATGTCTTTTTGTCCATGGAACTATGGGTTTTATTGTGACTTAAGATGGTACATCTGTTAAAGATAGGACATAATTATTCATGATTTTCAGATGTGCACCATCTCCTATCTTTCAATGCTAGAGATTTTATGTAGTTATAATAAGGTCCTATTTTTCTTCACT